GTTTACCAACTTACTTTTCACGTACTTCCTCCTCATTGCGTGGATTGACAGCTCCAATGGGTCTGGACAGATCCTGGAAGGTATTGGGGTTTTCAAGGTCCAAAAATTTGGATGTGTAATCCATCAGTATCCATGGAAACTGAAGAAACAAAACATGGATCAATTAAAATTTTATTCCTTTCAAAACAAAATGTTACCCTTTTGATAAGAAGTCTTAATATTATGATATAATGAAATTGATTAAACTTTTTGTGGAAATACTTTGATCTAACATAAATTTAGTTTCAGGTTTGGCCGGCGGTTGCAATACAGGCCCCATTGAAACATAAATTCTCCTTGGAACATACCCCCATTAGAGGCCAGGCTCAAGTCAGCAATGCTACTCACCACATGGTACTGGCTCAGATCATTGTAGGTGCGGCCTGCTATCGTGTTGAGCTGCATCAGGTATTCAAAGTTTGAGATCTCTCTGTTCACCCATTTGTGAGGACATTGTGGGAGTGGGTTAAATATTTTTATGTTGATTCAAGTAGCAAAGACTTCTATGCGACTGTGTAACTATAAGAATAAAACACAATAGCTGCCCCTGATTACCTGAGTGAGACTAGAAGCCCCGAACAGGTATCCGGGTGACCTCTGACCTTTGTAGATCAGGTTCAAAGGTCGCAAACTCAATATGTGACTGTAAATCTTGTTACGCAAGGTCTGAGGAGAGTGCAGACAAAATTACAAGTTTGAGAATTCAAATTTCCTATTAATGCCCTTTACGTCTCACTTCGTCCATTTACAACAAGGCTTTTGACTAACAACTTTCGCTATTCAGCACTTTCAAGCTGCTTCTTTGTGTTCAGGACTCACTCCAGTTTTTGCTTAAACTTAAATTATAAATTACAATCTTAGGCAAGTTGTTAGGAACCACTTATTAAGCATCATTTGATGACCCTCAATTTCATTTGTTGAATTATGCTTATCAATAGAAAAGATCAAATGCTACGGTGGCTCTACCTTCTTAGGGAAGTTGATGAAATAGTTGGTCTGATCGATGAGGAATACTTCCAGGGCGCTACATCTCAGATTGTATCTACGGAAGTGAATTTCCCGAAGTCGAGACAAACACCACTTAAAATCTTCACCTCCTGAAAACACAAAACAGAATTAGTAAAATATTTAACTGCTTTTTTAAAACAATTAAACAATTTTTTTTTTTGCTATCACATGATCCCATGAGAAAGGATTCTGAGTGTGTAGAGACATTTTATTTTTAAAGTAGACTGTCCCTCTCACTTTAAGTAGTTGTACATACATTTTAAAAGTAGAATGTCACGGTCACTTGAAGTATTTGTATAGAAATTTTTTTAAAGTAGACTGTCACTTGAAGTAGTTGAAGAGATATTAAGTAAAAGTACTTTTTTTTATAATTTCTTAATTTGGGAAAGCAACATTAAAAAACTGTCATCCCCATCTTAAATGAGTATTGTGAAAAAAAAAAAATGGAAAGACCCTTACAATTTTAAACTAGATTCTTTTTTAAATTTCCAAGCAGATACATGAAGCCACACTGTGTCAGGAGGAAAAAAAAACGTGAACCCTTCTTATAACGATGAAAAACACTTACATTAATTTAAAAAATACAACTCACTTTAGTCCTGACATATTTACCCCCCAAAAAATGAATGGCCCTTGATAAGATATAACATAACATTAGAATTAAAATGAGTTTAGGAATTTTTAAAAATTGATAGATATTTACAATTAGTTTCCACCATTTTAAAAAGGGCTCCATTTTTATCAGGACACAATCATGGATTTTGTTGTCAGAGTGCAAGATTAGCTGGTAGAAGTTATGTGCTTTGGGTCAGCTCACTATGATGGGTGAAAGCTGATTTAACAGGGGTCAAGGTTGTCCATCCGAACAGATTGAACAAAAGGCCAAATATTTAAAAAAAAAAAGATCTTTAAAAAAAACAAAAAAAAAAAACATTAATTTTATTTAAGAACAAATCTGCAGTTAGATACTTGGAAAAAAAAAGCAACTAAAAGAGCCCATCAACACGAAATTCAACAGGCGGACCGGCATATATGCAACGTACCAATGGTGAGATCCTTATTCTCACCCTCTTCCTTGTGGGGGCTGCAGTCGAAGAAATATACACGGGTTGCGGTGACCTCAAGCCATCCTTTAATATCATCCGTCACTGTGATAAGTTCACAATCAGCGGAGAAGACCAGCTTTTCTCATTCCGTGCATTCTTCAATGTTGGCACTGGAAATACAAGGGGCAACAAGGTAGAGGCCGATGTGATGTGCTGGTGGAGTCTTACACATAAAGAAGTTACAAATACAAGTTCTGGATATTTTTTTTTATCTTCTAGACTTTCAATTTATTGTGATGAGTTGCTCGGCAGATTTCCTAATTACGTTGTGATATTGTTTCAAATTCATAACGATAATTCATTGCACATTAAAAGGCTAATACAAGTAACAACTAAAATCAAAACATATCCATTTGCATGAGTCATATATATGGCAACCTGTTGGGATAAAAAAACAACGGGACAAAAGTCCCCCCAAAACTGCACAAAAGTCCCCGAAAACTGTAAAACAGCATGAAAAACATTACGGGGGGGGGGGGGGGGAAAATAAAAAAATTTTTAAAAAAAATTTTTTAAAAAAATTTTTTTTTTTAATTTTAAAAAAAAAAAAAAAAAAAAGGGGAACATTTTCATCCTTTAATTATCAATGTTTTCAATGCATGCAAACTTTTCCTTTGGGATAGACCTAATTTTCACTAATAATCTCCCCTTCGCTGTGCGTGCATAATTACACTGGTCAGTAGCAATTTTTATGTAAAATGACTCAGATGTTGAATTTGTTAGCAGTTTAGATGTAATTAGACATAGACATAAATCATGCTAGCTGTAGTATTACAGATTTTTGTTTCAAAATGAATGAAAGGAAATACATTTTGTCCGTCGTGACCAATCTATTAGCTCTACCGTCAGTTTATAGCCGTAGTTTCAACATAGTATGGGGAAAAATCAGGTGGAGAGTTTTATTATTTTTTTAACATATGCCCTTTGTGGATATGAGGTGTTAATGAGAATCACACAAACCGATGTGCAACAATGGTTAAACGAGGGTGTAGTACTATTAACGAATGGTGTCAGTACTATCCTGACTGATCTCTGTGACTCAACGAAACTGAGCTCAGTTTCTAAATTTGGATGGCCCACCAATCTTTGAACTTTGGACCAAAGATCATTTTGAACAGACCAATAGGGTTTCAACTTCCTGTTGAACAATTTATTGCACTGCCAGTTAAGATTTCAATTCTGTGTCGTCACTTTCGTGTCATGTGCAAATATTGTTCTTTTCTAAATCCATTGAAAACCGCAAAGAATCATGTATGACTGTACAACTTTAAAAAAAAGTTAACACTCGTACTAATTACTGACAAAATGTACAGGTTGGCATGTGTGGCTGAGTACTTCTAGTTTACACCATTGTTTGACAACATGTAAGTTAAAGCTACATACAATATAGTCTTAATTAACAATGCAGAACTTGTTTCCAAATAAAGTGTAGTTTTGGTTGGTTGAGGATGAATAAGTTTATGTTGATACTAGTGTCAATGTCATACCTTGAAGCTGAGATGGCGCTCCACTCTTCATCTCCAAGTGTGTCATCTGCAATGTTTTCTTTTGATACCAAAGCTTCTTTAACTCCATTGAGTTCTTCTAAGCGGAGTGATGTCACAGAATCAATTGCTCCTAAAGATATCAAAATTTTCCCTGAGATGACAGGGAATCCCAATATTACAAAATCACATTATTCCCGAAATAACCTGGGACCCCTGTGTTAGAACACATACCCACATTGTCCATGAAGTGACAGGGGACTTCTTTATTACAGTACATACCCACATTGTCCCTTAGTTGGCTGGGGGCCCCTGAGTTATACATACCCCCATTATCCCTGAGTTGGATGGGGGCCCCTGTGTTAAACATACCCACATTGTCCCTGAGTTGGCTGGGTTCCCTGTGTTAAACATACCCACATGGTCCCTGATTTGGCAGGGTTCCTTGTGTTAAACATACCCATATTGTCCCTTAGTTGGCTGGGAGCCTCTGTGTTATACATAACCACATTATCTTTGGGTTGGCTGGGGGCCCCTGTGTTATACACATCCACACTGTCCCTGAGTTGGCTGGGTGCCCCTGTGTTATACACACCAACATTGTCCCTGAGTTGGCTGGGGGCCCCTGTGCTATACACACCCACATTGTCCCTGAGTTGGCTGGGGGCCCCTGAGTTATATACACCCACATTGTCCCTGAGTTGGCTTGGGGACCCTGTGCTATACACACCCACATTGTCCCTGGGGTCCCCTGTACAATACACACCCACATTGTCCCTGGGGTGTCTGGGGTCCCCTGTGCTATACATACCCACATTGTCCCCAGGTTGGCTGGGGGCCCCTGAGTTATACACACCCACATTGTCCCTGAGTTGGCTGGGGTCCCTGTGCTATAAATACCCACATTGTCCCTGAGGTGGCTGTGGGCCCCTGTGTTATACACACCAACATTGTCCCTGAGTTGGCTTGGGGCCCCTGTGCTATACACACCCACATTGTCCCTGGGGTGGCTGGGGTCCCCTGTGCTATACATACCCACATTTTCCCTGGGATGGCTGGGGTCCCCTGTGCTACACATACCCATATTGTACCTGAGGTGGCTGGGGGCCCCTGTGTTATACACACCAACATTGTCCCTGAGTTGGCTTGGGGCCCCTTGCTATACACACCCACATTGTCCCTGGGATGGCTGGGGTCCCCTGTGCTATACATACCCACATTTTCCCTGGGGTGGCTGGGGTCCTCTGTGCTATACATACCCACATTGTCCCTGAGTTGGCTGGGGTCCCCTGTGCTACACATACCCATATTGTACCTGAGGTGGCTGGGGTCCCCTGTGCTATACATACCCACATTGTCCCTATCAAAATGTGACTATCAAAATTGTAGTTCTGGGTCAGTTTTACTTTCATGCGCTGGAAGTTTTCTTGGTTAGACAGTTTCCAGTGGACCACTTGTTGATGTCTGGAGAAAACAGGGGCACACAACAAATGTTTTTATAAGTTAGAGTTGTCTACCGATTCACATGACCTTCTAGAATATAAAGTTACCTCACTAAGAAAAATATCTGTTTGGGCAACTTAAAATGTAAATATTCAACCAAGACCAGCAGTCCCAAAATATTTGCTCTGCAGATATACTTTATAAAAGTGGCTCCTCAGTCCAAAAAGGTGGCAGACCCTGACTGAGACCATTCAAACAATGTGAGTCACTAGACCAGACTAAGTAACTTACTTGTTCTTCCAAGCCCCTCTTTTGCCATTGAAGAATCTCTTCGTGGCCCTCCACTGTCTCAGTGAAAACAGGTGCTGATTTTTTTCCTGTGCCATCACGTTCTGGAACCTTCTGTTCTCGTGGTCTACTTTCTTACGATACTCAGTCTCTATCTGGTTCTGTGGTTAAACATATGCATCATATGACCACAGATAGAATCGGTTCTTTACTTAATATTTTAAACAAAAATAAACCTTGAATACTCATTCAGTGCTTTAAAAGTCATCAACTTAAAATAGCAGTGCCATTGTTCCATTCCAACATCCAACCAGTGGTGGCAACAATTGTTCCATTTCCACATCCAAACGGTGGTGGCAACAATTGTTCCATTCCCACATCATACCAGTGGTGGCACATCCAACCAGTGGTGGCAACAATTGTTCCATTCCCACATCCAACCAGTGGTGGCAACAATTGTTCCATTCCAACATCCAACCAGTGGTGGCAAAAATTGTTCCATTCCCACATCCAACCAGTGGTGGCAACAATTGTTCCATTCCAACATCCAACCAGTGGTGGCAAAAATTGTTCCATTCCCACATCCAACCAGTGGTGGAAACAATTGTTCCATTCCAACATCCAACCAGTAGTGGCAACAATTGTTCCATTCCAACATCCAACCAGTAGCCAAGGGAAAAAAACAAATCTCTCCCATGTTCATATTGCAATTTGTTATTTTGGACCATTTGTCTGATTGATTTCTGTCCATATTCTCTTTGATTATTTTATGTAAAATGTAAAAAAAAAACAGTTTTCCTTTCTTTGTGTCAATGCTAGTTGATACTTGCAGTTGATATTTTCAGTTGTTATGTTAATCAACATTTGTTTGGTTTTCAATAAATATCATTATTTGACATAATAATGATCATCCGCTAAAGCAATGTCTCCCTGTGTGAGGGTATATGCTCCGAAAAGGGGGGGGGGAAGCATATTATTTAATCGCTGAGAAAGAACCAATTAAAAAAGGGAAGAAAAGGGGAGGGGGGCAGACAGTATACTTTTAAAAGTTACTCCCTGCCTAATCCCTGCCTTTATTTGTAATGGCTTGATTTCCAAACACATGGCACTTGCTGTCAGTTTTATTCTACAAATGTGGCTTGGCAAACTGTATCCAGCGGACCACATTCAGCCCGCAACTTTGGTGGATCTTGCCCACAGAGTCAATAGTGATTATGAAGTGATGAATAATTCATGTCTGTGATTAGTAATTAGTATGCATGGCCCGATACATGCGCAGACATTGTGCAAGGAGGTAGACAAATCTATTGTATAATTTTATTTGGACAAACAAATTAAACTGTGTCAGAGCAAAGGGACGGACAGGATAGGGTGTTTATGTTTTTGTTTTAGGCGCTCAGCTCGGGTGATGGGGCAAAAAAATGATTGAGCAAAAACTGGGCTAGTGTTTACTTTACCAACTTACCTTAAATCTGAGCCTGCTCTCCCCAATCTCACTGTTGTGTTTGTGATGGTTCATCATCATCTCCTCATGACAGTCTGACCAGAAGTGGATCATGGTCTGAACACTCTCCTCAAAGTTCATCTCAATGAAGTGGGTCATTTGGGGTCCAACCTACAAGAACCACGACAACAATTATATGACGCTAGTCGTCACTGTAAAAAAATATTCTACAAATGTATGCCATTCATCACTGCATACATTTTCTATGAATGTCTGCCATTCACCACTGCACACACATTCTATGAATGTCTGACATTCATCACTGCACACATACTTTCTACAAATGTCTGCCATTCATCACTGCACACATACATTTATAAATGTCTGCCATTCATCACTGCACACATACTTTCTATGAATGTCTACCATTCATCACTGTACACACATTCTATGAATGTCTGCCAATGTACACATATGCCATGTATGTCTACTCATCACTGGACACACATTCTATGTCTGCCATGTACACATATTCCATGTATGTCTACTCATCACTGAACACACATCCTATGAATGTCTGCCAATGTACACATATTCCACGTATGTCTACAATTCATCACTGGACACACTCTCTATGAATGTCTTCCAATTGTGCACATACTCACATAGCTCTTTATGAACGTCTGCCATTCATCACTGTACACATATGTCTTGAAGTCATCAAAAAATGTGGGACTCATGGATGACTTGGGAAGATGAGGGAGATGAATGCTGGTGGTCAAGAGTTCTTGACCTTTCTCAATCAAAGCTCTCAACACAGGCATCAGGTAGGCATAGTTGTCTGAGTTGGCTAGGGAAATCAATGCATTAAATAGTCAGGTTCCATGAGGTGCAAGTGCTTATTCAGTTCTCTGTAACATTGAGATGAATTTTGTTAATAGATGTTTAACAGTCGGGTATCTGATATTGTTTTGAAATTTGAATAGTTTTGTTCCGATATTATTTTGAATAGTAGGATATCTAATATTGTGGGATAAATGAAAAAAGTTGCGTTTTGGGGGTAATAGAAACAAAGCTGAATAGTGATGTACCTAAATTTGTTACGCAAGTGAAGTAACTAATAAGTACCTTCAATGGACTCAATGATCATTGAGTTCAAGACCCCCCCAGGATGTAGGAAGCTTCGGCCGAGCTGCTGATGAGCTTGGTTTGGACGAGGGAGTGCAGCCTGACAGTTGACGAGGATACCAGCTGTGAAATAAAGGTCAAAATGAACAGCGGAGAATAAACTGAAGCATGAATTGAAACTTAATAAGATTTTACTCAATGATACTTATATAGATGATTCAATCATCCAAAGATTTGACATTACTTTTTTTTTCTCTACAACTTGATAGTCATCCGTCCCTCTCATTGAGACGACGATGGTGAAGTGCCGCAACATGTGTCTCTGAGACCTATTCACACAAGGTGTTTGGATTTTTGTTTTCATTTGCTCTGAATCGGTACTGACCACACAGCCAACAAGTCAACCCTAATATCAAGTAACAATCCAAAATACCCAGCATCAACCCCAAATACCTAATATCTACCCCATATATCAACACCAAATACCAATCATCAACTCCTAGTCATGCTATCAATGAAATGAGACAATAATTGTATACCTCCAGATCTGGTTGCTTCGAGAATGCTAGCAGCACTGAGAACACTCTGTGGACCATCTCTGTCCAGGCAACCATAGCTTCTGTGTCCCAGACACCCAGAGCATCAAGCAGAGACATGACATCCTCAAGGCGCTGTAACATGCAAGTTTTAAGTGAGCTGTAACATACAAGTCTTAGTGAGCTGTAACATGCAAGTTTTAGGTGAGCTGCAACATACAAGTCATAACTCTTTACATTCCTTTAATTTTGCAAGTTTCTCATGAGATTTCTAGTGACCTTAAAAAAGAGTCAATAACTTTTAGAATCCTTGTCTAAAGTTCATGATGTTATATATATTATTGTGGGGAGATGCATGAGGTTTCTAAAAATATTTGTTTTCAAACACATAAAGTCAATACTTAAAAGTTGTGAAAAAAATAATGCAATTTTAAAAAAAATTAAAATGTTTTTTTTTAAAATTGGTGATCACATGCAAAGAAGGAAAAAAAAAAACCACATAAAATTATTTAATAAAATGTTTATTTAGAAAGCAAATTCATTTTCTTATATCATATGCATGATTTAGAACATTTCATGAGAATTTGACCAAAATATTTATTATTTTGTAAAATGTGTCAAAAAGGGGGAATAATTTAAAAAAAATAAAAATCACCGCCCCCACCAAGTATTCACAAAAATTACAGGTTATTATTTTACCTTTTAAAAATTACTTCAAGGTTTTAAAAAGTAATAGAGGCTTTAAACTTCATGGTACTGTTAGTCAGAAAGTTTCTTGTTATTTTAACAAAGATAAATTTACCATGCGCTATATTTGATTTATAATTTTATTTTCTTAGCATTCCTAATTTATAGCACTAGCACACTGACAATTGCTTTTAAAATCTATGCAATCAGGAATTATTGCATTTAGGTTGTATTTGGTGTTATTTACATTTGCAGCACTTGGAACTGCATCCCTTTTAGTAAATAATCAAATAATTTCCTCGGTGAAGTCAATTGAGAATAAAATGTCAGGTAGCTTCAATTCATCTATATCACAGCTTTCTTTTGAACAATCCTGAAGAGATTATAGCTGGCTTTATCAACAAAATGGAAAAAGGGATTAGTCCAGAGCTGTTTTCTTTACTTAGAATGATATATTCATTTATCAACTTGTCAACACCATACAGGTCACAGGAATGAATTGTATGATTTCAAAATCTGATTTGACAATATTTGGTTTTCTCCCCAATAATTGCCTAGAAAGACACAAATCAGTTTTGGTTTTGTTCACAAAAGAAAATCCATTTGCTGTCATACTATTTGAAATAAGTCAGGCTTTTCTCTCCACTGAACATAGTATAAATTATATTATCTCTTATGCATCACATCATATCACATTGCTTTGGTTTTTATCTTTACTTACTTCTGTTAAGTCTGAAAAGTTCACTTTGCACTTAGTAATAAAACATTGTTGCGGTTGACAAGTATTTTTGTACACCGAGGACTTGTTCAGTTGACATGCACATTAGTAGTCCTAGAAATGTGTAAAAGTGGTATGTTATTGAGTTATCAACAAACCACAATTGATGGAAGGTTTAGAAGGTCCCATGGTAGTTGAATAGGTGTATTTTACAAATGTTTCAACCAAATTCAGTGTGAAACATATCTTGAAAATCCTTAGACTTTAGGGTGCAGATTGTAGCCATGTTAGGATGACATTTCTTCCCACACAAGTCAGCCTGACTTTCTGGCTGGGGGAAACTAAGGAGTGGGAACAGTGGGTCATCATCTCGAACCTCATACAAGCCTGGCCTGTGAATGTAAAAGAAGAACAAATATTATAGACCTATATGATGCAACTATTAGGGATGCAATGAATATAAAATATATACTTACTTAAATTTCCAGTTTTTAATACTTCAAATACTTTCTAAAAACTGTTATGACCAAAAGAAATTAGTGTCAGATAATTAATTTTTATAACACACATGGATATCAAATTTCATGGTCTTTAGGATGAAATATATCATGATAAACAGTGCCGACTGCATTGTTTACATTCCTTAACGTCTTCTAAAATTATTTATGTAATAAAATATTCGCAAATTATACAATGATTTTATTTGCGTAGATTCATTTTAAAATGGGTAGTAAATACTTCAATTATGATTAAAAATAAAATTTAAACCGATAAAATGAAAATAAAAGTAAAAAATCTATAAAAAATATAGAATGACAAAACACTTGATTACTAACCTTCTAGTTTTAGTGACTATAATGGGCTATAAAGGCAGATTCTCATCAAAATCTGAACAAAAGTCACTAGATTCAGGTTCCCAACTATCTTCCCCAGATGTTTCAGATAAAATTTGATCAATATTTTTGTCAGTAGTATTCATTATTTAAAATTTTGGGCTGCCGACTCGACTAGTCTTGCACAAATTTTCCCAAAATGGCGAGTAACGCTTCGGCATGTCACGTGAACCTCGAACTCGCAAAAAAACATCAATTATTATTTAAAATCCTTAAATATTATTTTTAAAATATATTTTTCTTCCAAATGTATGATAAAATAGGTATAGAACACTTAGAAAATAAAAAAGACAATATTTTATTATAAAAAATAACCAACGTAAATAGTTGTACGCTCTCTATATAAGAGGAATGAAAAGAGTTAAGTGAGCTGTAAAATGCAAGTCTTAAGTGAGCTGTAACATACAAGTCTTAGTGAGCTGTAACATGTAAGTTTTCAGTGAACTGTAATATACAAGTCTTAAGTGAGCTGTAACATAAAAGTCTTAATTCAGTTGTAACATAAAAGTCTTAAGTGAACTGTCACACCCAAGTCTTAAGTGAGCTGTGACATACAAGTCTTAAGTGAACTGTAACATACAAGTCTTAAGTGAGCTGTAACAAACAAGCTTTTTGAAACATTGTGCAGAATACATATCAAATAGATGGCATGCACTTTGTAAAATATATTTACTATGGATTATGTGCAATCTTTCAAAAGTCTTAAATTAACAGTTGATCCTGTATTTTCATAACAAATATTAAAAAAAGAGAATCAGTTTGTTTCACTGTTTAACTTCATCTCGGCTGCCGATCATCGCTGTCCCTTTCAAGTGTTTATGTTGTAGAAAAGCAAAAAGTAGCACTTCACTATCAGTATTATATTTACTGAAACAAACTCAACAGCTCACTGGGACTTACTCTGTTAGAGAAAGACTCAGGGGGGGCATCAAGCTTGGTGACAAAGCCCAGGACCAGGCGGATGAGTTCGAGTGCATTTTCTGAGAGGGCCGGTGGGGTCTGGACACCGGAACTTCGAATGTCCGTCATACAGTTGTGCATCATCATCTCGGGGAGACGTCTCTTGATCTCCTCAGGGGGCCGGATCAGCTCATGGGACTCCCCGAGCTCATCTATCCAGGTAAACACCTGACATCTCTCCTGAGGATCAACAGTTAATAATAAGCCATTATCTCACAGATTTCTCTCCAAGCTCAAATACCCAGGTAAGCACCTGACATCTATTCTGGGGGATAAACATAAAAATAAGTACATTAGTTAATTTATTTTACAGGACTCTCTAAGCTCTTATACTAAAGTACATCTCTTCCGGGGGGGGGGGGGGGGGGGGGGGGATAATTTCTCAAATTAAAAGACAGAAATGTTACCTACCTTCAATATCTCCTTGCTGGAGCCCTCAATACCTTTCCAATTTATTTTACAAGACTCTCTAAGCTCACATAATAAAGTACATCAGGGGGGGGGGGGAGAGGGGGGGGTGATAATCTCACAAATTAAAAGACAGAAATGTTACCTACCTTAACTTCCATATCTTCACATGATGGACAGGAGTATTATGAGTATATTCTGGCAAAGTTCTTCTTTTTGTTCTATGGCATCGGTCAGCTGCACCCCAACATGGTCAAGGACCTAAAGAACGTTGAGATGGAAGATAGAGACCAAGAAATAGTGGAATGATTTTTTTTTTTCCCCCAAGTGTTGTTTAAAAATAACAACAGCAACACAGCACTGTAAAATTATGTGTTTAACTTAAAGGGAAACGTGCTTACAGTGGCGTAGCTAAGGGAGGGGGAGTACAAATTCGAAAGTCCCCAGGGCCCCTACTTGAGGAGGGCCCCCCAAAGGAGTGTAAGAAATTTTTTTTACATTAAATTATGTCGAATGTCAAAATGCAGATCTTCAAAACTGGCGCTTGAGCTTCAACTGTCAATCTGTGTGTCAGATAAAGTAGCATATCGTTATTTTAAGGGTAGTGTTATTAAAATTGTATGACTTCATGTACAGCAATGGCCTTATTAACCCATTCAAACCGTCGTAACAGCAAAATCAGGCCACTCAAACATGTTGTTTTCATGTTATTTGTAGCTAGCGGAGATCTCACCATTTAAATGAAAGCCTCGCAAGATACGAGATCAGCATGGTGGATAACTTCCAAATTTTTAATTATAGATCAGACAAGGAGTATTCATTATTTTGATAGCAGATTAACTTTAGTAGCATCATGCTCATGAGTAATCAAGTACTTTGTCATAGTTCTTTAAGAATTTACACAAATAAAGCAAGTGGCTAAGTGGGAACTAATGTAATATGACACATAAATGGACCAGTTATGAATGCAAATCAATTTCTTTCATAAAAATATAGAACAAAATAGATTTGTTATTAGATTTTTTTAAAATTGCCTAAACTAATATGTGATAAATGAGGAGTTGTTCCCATACGGCTGGGGTTTCAATGGATAAAATTTCTGAGTGCCCTGTGTCGAATTGGTTGATGGGGAAAGCTTTTTTGTGACTGACCTTCATTGTCATCAACATCGGGTGTTTCCATCTCCTCAAATTTTCTCTTGATGTAAAGGGGCGAGCTGGGGGTGGGCTCCTGCAGCAGCTGATCCATCAAGTCTTCATCCTCTTGGCTCGGCTTCTCCTCCACTGGGCTGGATGGGAAGGGGAGGCCGCTTGGTCTGGTTGGTGAGCCTATCATATTCTTGATCTCTTCACTGTGTTGGTTCACTGTGACAGAAGGAGGGGAGGGCACTTGGTCTGGTTGGTGAGCCTATCATATTCTTGATCTCTTCACCATGTTGGTTCACTGTGACAGCAGGAGGGGAGGGCACTTGGTCTGGTTGGTGAGCCTATCATATTCTTGATCTCTTCACCGTGTTGGTTCACTGTGACAGCAGGAGGGGAGGATCGCAAGAGGAGGTCTCTGGGCTTATTCAAATGGTCTGGTTGGGGGGGGGGAGAAGAAAAATGGTATAAGAGATCAAGTTAAATTTTGAGTAATTTAACAAATGACATGTTTGCAAGATTATGGATTGGAATTTTTTTTAAAAATCTTATAGACTCCTGAAAGCTCCTTGATGCTGTTTATCTTTAGGCATTTCGTTGTAGAGAGTACATAACATTATTGACAGAGACGTGAACCTTTTTATTACCATCAACCTGTCATCACACATCTGGCATGGATTTACACCGCAATCCCTCATCCAGACACTACATCCAATGCAACCAAAATACCGAAAATGTTGAGCCTGAATCTGCTCCCGGAGTAAAAGGTTCAAATACCAAAGATACGTACCTGTAATACCTAAGCTGTCTGCAGAAATGTTGTCGAATGTGACAGGTGTGGGTGGTGATGGGTGGGATGCGCCTGTACCAGCATTCAACTGGCTTTTATCTAAAGATGGGCGTTTGGATGAGTCGTCATATGATGTGGGGGCTGATGGTGGAAAGCTGCCAGGTATTGCTATAGTGGACGAGACAAGTTGGTCCAGCGGCTCTGATAGTGTCGGCACAGGTACGTTAGGGATATGTTGGTCCAGTGACTCTGATAGTGTCAGCAAATGTAGGTGAGGTCCATTTGAAGTAGCTTGACAGACCCCGCTCCAGAGGACCTGCTTTCAGCGTGAGAAGAGTCAGCTTTAGATGTGTTGGTCAGGGTGAAGGCGCGCCTCCTTTCCACAGTGAGAAGCCTGGTGATGTTTTCCTGCCAGCCCAGCTGTTTGGCAAAGCCTTTAGCTGCCCCTGACTTGGAGACAATGATGGCCAAAAGCTGGTGGGAGAAGAGAGACTGAGGTCAGAACAAGGAAACTGAGAGAATGTATTAACTCTGATAGCAGTATTACTTTATGTCAACTGCAGTGGTGTAGCTGGCTTAAAGAGTTTCAGCTATAGGGGCTGTATGCAATAGGGCTGAACATAGCAAGAAAACACTTGGAGTGATAGTGAGCCGGTTAAATCAAGCAGACGCCATGGATTTAGCTGGGTTGGGGGGGGGGGGAGGAGGGGAAAAGTCCCCCTTCAATTCCAGTTGACTTGAATAAACTAGTTTTTAGTTCAGCCTCGAGTTTAAGCTTTTAAACTTTATCCAAAGGACTTGAGGTGGCTCTACAGTTTATAGAGGCGGCTCTACAGTTTATAGAGGCGGCTCTACAGTTTATAGAGGCGGCTCTACGGTGTATAGAGGCGGCTCTACAGTGTATAGAGGCGGCTCTACAGTTTATAGAGGCGGCTCTACTGTTTAAAAGGTGCCTCTACTGTTGATAGTGGTGCCGCTACTTTTTTGCCACATGATACTACATAACGTCAAACATGATCTGACCTGTCTGCTTGCCACAGATTGTATGTCTAGTCTACTGAAAGTGTCAAGCATGACCTCACCTGTCTGCTTGCCACAGATTGTATGTCTAGTCTACTGAAAGTGTCAAACATGACCTCACCTGTCTGCTTGCCACAGATTGTATGTCTAGTCTATTGAAAGTGTCAAACATGACCTCACCTGTCTGCTAGCCTCTGATTTAATGTCCAGACCACAACCGTGAACAAAGCCAAGGACAGATAACACTGCACTGTAGGTCTGGGGAGTTTCTGTGTAAACAAATGCAAACGTATTGGAATAGATGAAATATTCAATTGACATCTTTTATGAAGAAGGGAAGGCTTTCAATTCAAAGATTTCATCATTTTCCCTTTCACCATAAACACTTTAAAGTATTATTCTAACAAAACTTGCAGCAGTCGCCATGACAGTGCCATCAATAGTATAGCAAAATTTTTAACAATTACCCGTAAAGGCCACTTGTTCAATGAAACGTTTGATCATCGGGGCCAATATCTCATAATGGGCCATCAAGTTGATGAAACCAGCATGGCCAATGTCTGACAGCTTCAGCCGGGACTTGTTTTTCTCATACACTCTCTCGGTCTTCAGGAGGATGAAGAGAATCTGAGTGATGTAGAACTGTTTATCTGAGTGATGTAGAACTGTTTATCTGAGTGATGTAGAACTGTTTATCTGAGTGATGTAGAACTGTTTATCTGAGTGATGTAGAACTGTTTATCTGAGTGATGTAGAACTGTTTATCTGAGTGATGTAGAACTGTTTATCTGAGTGATGTAGAACTGTTTATCTGAGTGATGTAGAACTGTTTATCTGAGTGATGTAGAACTGTTTATCTGATTGATGTAGAACTGTTTATCTGAGTGATGTAGAACTGTTTATCTGAGTGATGTAGAACTGTTTATAAAGCTTGTCCTTGACATTCAATGACCTATATTTGCATATTTTAATACAGTACTCCAATTTAGATGGTGTATCAAAGAGTCTCCTTTAATAACGGAGGTTAAAAAAGTTTGATTGGCAGCCCTCATCATCATAAAAAAAAAAATGACCTTACCCATAAGAAACATTACGTAAGTCACACCTTGACCACCTTCTCATAGAATATAATTGGCTGGTGAGGGCGGGTCAACAGCTTGTAGAGCATCTCTGCTTGGTTCTGCTCATACAGCAGCAGTACCAGCTGATCTTGTTTTCTACTTGGGCTCTCCAGCAGGGCTATCATGAGGTCCATAGCCTCCAGGACCTGGGAGGGGGGGATCAGACATAAAACATAGGGCCTACATTAAGAATCCCAATAAGACAGTGTCCTGGCTGACTGGCATCAGCACCCAGCCCAAACTGTACAAGCTGGGAATGATAACTTAAAATGTTTATTATTGCTTTAAAACACTGAGAAAGGTCTTTCAGAAATTCTATCCCTTTTTCTTCTATATTTTGAGGGCGCACGATCAATGTATAATTCATTCTGTTTCAGAGGTGTTCCGCAATTTAACTGTGCATGGTTTTGAAAGGGATACATCACTGGTTGCAAGGGCTACTCAGCAATGGTTTTATGAACTGGGGTTTGGAAGACAGGAGGCAACAGA